GCATGAAAATCCTAACCTCAAAAAAATCACCCGTTACATACATACATTACACTTGAAAGACTAAAAAAAAGTGTCGTTTGTGTTAAATCTCTCCCCAAATTTTATTAATTCTTTTAATCTAGAAACTTGTGCACATTTTTTTTCAAATAACTTATTCAAAAATTATTTTAAATAAAAAATTAACAAAAAAGGTGATTTGCATCGGCCGGGAATCGAACCCGGGCCGCCCGCGTGGCAGGCGAGCATTCTACCACTGAACCACCGATGCTGTTATTCAAGCCAGCGCCAAAGAGCAAACACAAACGCTAGGCAAGAGAGGGAGAGTGTGAGAGGAGTCATAAAGCATTGTTGACTTGCGATAAACATTGAATAAAATTTTCCGCGGTATTTTTAATTCACTTATGTACGCAAATAAATATATATTTTACATATGTATTTATTTATTTATAAATTTTTTATCAGTGTTTCACATTAGCAAATTCAAAACATGCGCGTGCTTGTGTTAACATGCAGATACGTACTTACTATGCGTATTTACATATAGTGGTCGCACCACATGTTGACGATTTTTAACAATTTTATTTTAGATGTTTTTTTTTTTATAGATATATTGTTCTAGCTTTGACAAAACTCTTATCAAAAAAAGTTAATAAATATTCGTAAAAATTTCGAGCTTGCTTTAGAAAGATTTTGAATACATATACATTCGAGTAGCGCATTGAGTTCTAGTAAAATAAAGTAAGGGGTTCAAGTAGCTAAAAATTTAGTTTTATATTTATTATGTTATTAGAAAATGCCCTGTGAGAACTTCAGTTGTTATGCGAATGTCTTGCATTGTCTATTCAGTAGAAATTTATACGACTACTAGTAATTTTTAGCAAAAAAAAAAACCGACTTCAACTCCCATATAAAAAAAATATATATATATATATATCTCATGATCCGCTGATCGGATCTTAACCAGATTAGTAAAAAGTATGCAAAAAGAATTATCGAAATCGGTTGACGTGGTCCAAAGTTATACATAAAAAAAAAAAAAAAAAAAAAAAATATTCCGACGAACTGATAACCTCCTCCTTTTTTGGAAGTCGGTTAAAAAAAGGAATTCACGGATATCCCTTCTATCTATATCAGGAAATGTTGTTCCCTAATGCACAACTTCAGCAGCCTTGCAATCTCCCTTAACGGCCTAGAGAAACCATACCTATAAAAGTCACCCATGTCTTATCCGAAACATGAGATTAGAAACTTAAATTGGCGGTGATCGAAGAAGAGGGATCACTATCGATATATGCAAAACTTTAATTTTAGTTGGTTTTCAAGTATTTTGATAGCAATTTCGGCAGGCAAAAAAAATTCTGAGTGGCAATACCCATACCACGTTACGTTCTAATTAGATTAACCAGCTACTGTTAGCTACTGGAAGATACATAAGTATGTACAAATTTTTTATAGATTTTTTATGTTATTTACTTTGTTTAATTTCATTTATTTTAATTCTGTTATTCAATTATTTTATTTTTAATTTTTTCCTCTTTTGTTTCATTCGTTTTTTTTCTTACTCTCATTTTTCAGATCTGGTGGACAGCACTGTCTGTTGCCTTGGGTCTGGACGTACGCGGTGATATAATCAAAGGTGTGCCATGTATCAAACGCTATCATCAATTATTCTGTCCGACAGCGGGCAATAGCTATCCAATGTGAGTATAAAAAAATAAAAATAATAATTTCGAGTGCTCGTATTTATAAAAGACGTAGCAGACATGTTGAAATACATAAAATATTTATCGCTCTTAAGGTGACAAGAAGCTAATCACTTGTCGATTGAGCTCGTTTACTTTGATTGTCTCGAATTGGTAAGGGAATAGATTTATTTTTGGGTTTTTTTTTTGACATATTTCCAGCTTTTGTTCATCTATTAACAAACTTTTTTTATTTACACATACCAATACAGTGACGAAAATATAAATAGGGAAGAGAAATTTTAGCAATTCGTCGAATTTTTATAAATGTGCTACAAAGTTTGAAATTTTGTATGGTTTTTTTTTCAGATAGTAAGCTTCTTATATTTTCATAAAACATAATAAAAAAATTTTCAAACAAAGAAAAATAGCCAAAACTTGCTAAAATGTCTCTTCCACATTTAAATTCTCGCCACCGCATTTATTTTGCGTAAAAAGTTTTTTATACATTCATTTATTTACTTCTTTTGTATTAATTGTTTTGTATTAATTTTTTTTTTTTTGCCACTTTAAACTCATCTATCGACTGCTACTCTTTTAACTATAATTAATTAAGCCATTAAACTCAACTCAATTTTATTAAAAGAAAAAAGGGCAAATCTTCACCTACTTTACTTAGTTATTATTATTATTTTTTTAATACAGAGTCATTAACTTAACCAGTCTATTCACATTGCGCTTTGTGTCAAAACTAATTTTAAAATTAGTGTTATTGATAATTTCAATGTTGTTTTGTGTTATTTAAGGTTGAACTTCTTCAATAATCTTATTGTTGACCTCTAAGCTATAGACATCGGGCGTTTTAACTAATGTGTAGTGATTAAATATAGCAGGCGGTTCCACTAGCATACTTTTTTTACACACTGCAATTGTCGGTAATACCCTAAAGCTAAAATTGGTTAAGACTAGATGGCTGCATAAAAATTTCCGTCAAATACATATGTATATGTATGTATGTATAACTTATCATTAAAAATTGCGTTCTTGGTGGCAAATAAAATTTATTTACTTTTTTTATTTACCTAAAGCAATCAACTGAGTGTAAAACTTTTAATGGAATAGCCCATAGAAGTAAATCTGGCAATTATTTGCTTTATTTATTAGATGATTATGGGCGAAATAGATTAATTTTAGAACTGCACTACTTTAGAAACCAGAAATTGATGCTTGGTTCTTAATTTTTTCTTAATGACATGTATTGCCACTTTATTGAAATTCAAAAACATATGCGCATTAGGGTAGTCCACAAAAAAAAATTAAAGCCGGAATTTTAATGCTCTCATCCCCCAGGATTGTTTTATATCGAAAAAAATATACCCGTTTTTTATTTTGAAATCAAGAAACAATTTAAAGGTCGCTCACAGCGCTCAAAATTTTCCATGAATTTTAAATGGAAAAAAAATTTTGTAGAAACGTTATAGAATTGTTCAAAATCAAAATTTGTTCTCCATTAAAAATACCCAATTATTTCTTTAAGCATTTTTTATTATAAACAATTTTTTATAGGATCCCTAAAAACCTCAAAAAATGCAATGGCAGGCCCCCCATAAATATCACTAGTATTGAAAAATGGAATCATAAACAATTGGTTATTATTATTAGTAGAAGAGAAACCAAGTTTTCCGATCGTAAAATATTGACTTTCAAGAATTCTTTGACTTTGAGCGCTTTGAGCAGCCCTTAAATATTTTTGATTGATAAAAAAAATAGGGGTACATATAATTTTTTTCTTTTACATATAATTTTAATTCCCACTTTACTTTTTCACATACATCTTTGGACCACCCTCATGTACATACATATAGTGTGGGTGTTTACACCAGGCTGGCTATCGGGCTATCTGCTTTTGTGGCTATGGCTTTTTATTCAGTTTGCAACAATAAAATACACTGGCGCACACAATAAATTTTAAGCAGGTACACTAGTAACCGGCATAAAGTAGATACCTGATCCCACAATATTGAGCTTCTACAGAAATCGTTTGCGATGCTTTGTAGCTGATGGTAATAATCTTATTACGCTTCAATATTCTCGTTAGTATTCGTATTTTGCCATATCAATAGCTGTTCTATCTTTCGCATTTACACCATTTCTCCGCGCACACTTCGGCTCTTCCACTTCTCGGAGCACCACAATGTCCCGGACCCCAGCATATATGAACGTTGTTCTATCAAAAAGATTGTACCTAATAAAGTTCTGCGAACAAAACTTTTCGCTTTACTTAAACAATTGGCTTTAGCAGAAGAAGGGGCACTATGACCTGAAAGATTTTATATATCGCTAGAGAGATGTCAGCGCAGAACTTTCCAACTTGGAAAAAGAAACTAAGAAGTTGTTTATCTAGGATCCAGCATAAACACCAAGAATAGCGTCAATCTGGAGATCGAGCGAAGGATAACTTTTCTCAACAGGTCCCATTTCGGTAGGCAACTGAAAAGCAGAGCCCTCTCTCGACAAAGAAAAATTACGCTCTAGAAGTCTCTCGTCAAGCACGTTCCTTTTTATTAGAAGGGTTTGGAGGCTTTCAAGATAACCGTTCTACGCAAGATCTGCGGCCCTGTTTCCATGGCTGACGAGTGCCGACATTTTTGTAAGATTCAATTTGTCGCAGGTTAAGATTGCTAATGCTTTCGCCTGTAATGCTGTGAAACCTTTGCCCATTGTAGTGAACGTTTTTGGATCAGTAAATATGTACCAGCAAGCACACTATCATTCACCCTTGTACCATCTGTACATCGCTAGGAACTTACTGCCAGAGCAGATCTGCTTGCTAGGAAGCATTTTTCCAACTCTGGTATCTATCCAAACATAGCTGCACCAAGCTTTTTTTTTATAAAAGTTATCGTTACAAAGTCGCAGTGGCAACGTCCTCGTGGCTGCTGTTGCTTAAAGTTTCCGTTGCTAAAAGACATGCCAACCTTTGAAACTTATCAATATGTGGTGGGTTCAATTCCTGGTCCGAATTTCGCGAAAAAGCTTTTTCTAGTACCGGTTGCCCTTCGGCAGGCAGTGCAAACCTCCAAGTGTATTTCTGTCCTGAAAAAGCTTCTTATGAACACGATTTGCCGTCCGGAGGCGGCAGAATCCCCCATTTGTGTAACAACAACTAGACGGGCACGACAAAAGGAGGAGAAGTTCGGCCCAACAGTTAGCAAAAGCGTAGTTTAAAAAATATTATCATTATGACAGTTCTTTTGTAATATTTTCTGCCATACCGCGAGTGCATATGACAAACCTGGGTGGAAAATCACTCTATTAATCCTTCTTCCGCTTCGATAAATGCTGATGAAAAATATTGTGACGTGCTAAAAAGTAATTTAAAACAGTGCTAATTTATTACTTTATGTATTTTTTTTTGTATTATTTTTGAATATTCTTCCCATTCTTTTTTTTAATTTCTTCCTTTGCTTTTAATCTGTTCCTCATTGTCTATATGTATGTATGTATTTGTTATTCCATGTCAGTTTATCACTTGTTGGTGTTGTCACAGCTTTCTTAAAAAAAATTACGCGAATGATGCAAAAATATGTAAATAAAAAATAAGTAATTCGTAAAACTGAAAGGCAAAAGATTAAGATTTGTTTTGTTGTTATATGTATTAATTACTTTTTTTTTTGCTTCCGGTGTGATCTCGCTAAGTGGTGAGTTCTACGACCTTAAAATGCGCAAACGCCGCACAGTGGGAGATTCCCAAAAATTTTTGTTGGGAAAAATATTAGGAGATGAATATCTAACTTTGAAATTTTGTACATATCATGATAATAAATGTTGTATACGCATACCTCCCATACAAACCTAACCTCAAAAAAGTCTAGTAGAAAAACTAAGTATTTAGAAAAAGATTGCAGAATATTGCAGCTGGATTTGATCAGATCTTAGTCAATGCTAACTGGTATTGAAATAATTAGTGTTATATCACGATTAAAGATCGCTGAGGAAGAAGAATTATAGTCAATTTAATAAAGTTTTAAACAAAAAAAATTTAAACTCCTCAAAATTAAATATTTACGTATACGGGTCCTAACCGCCAGCATAACGTAAGCGACATTTTTTTCAAAATTTTCTTTTTGGTGCAGAAATGCATCTAGGAATTTTTCTGCATCAAAAACAAATTTTTGATAAAAATGTCGCTTATGCTATTTTGGCGCTTAGGACTCGGTATAATGACATAATAAATAGCATGACATATGCCTTCTATGATAAACATTAATTCTTCTGTTAAGGCGGATTCATCGTTTTAGTTTTTGAACTTTTCTTCCTCTAAACTAAAAACTGAATCCGCCTTTAGAATGATGCTTGCATCAGAGCTCTGTCAATTTAAACAAGAATTATTTTTTTTATTTTTTTATGCACTTTTTTCTCATAGTTTTCAAACTTAAAAATTACTTGCTATCAAATCTCGTAAATCCGAAAAAATATAAAAAATTGCAAATTTGGCCATCACAAATATCTATAACTTTTTCCGCTCGTGGCCCATTGTGCGACGCGGCGATAATTTTATGTGAAGACGCGTGTGCCAAACAAATAAATCTTTACTGTTTACAAACAACGTGGGTTACATATCTTTAGTAAATAAACAAATTTATTTATCTTTCATTTCTACAATGATCGGCTTAAGCAAGCAATTAAGTATTTAATAATTGGTATTTCTTTAGATAGAATTAATTCGAGCTTCCAAAATCACGCGACTTCTATTTGGTATAATCATATACTCAGAATTATGAATTGTTTCATGGCTCATCATGATGACAAACGCCAGTCACAAATTTTTCTATACTTTATACGAATCTCCCAACATTTAATGAATTTCGGAAGTTACTGAAATGCAAAAAAAAAAAACAAATATTTTTGCACTTGACGCCTTCGCTTTCCGTAGCTATTTGCATGAATTACAAAAGCATCAAAGTTGTATGCAAACTGATATGGTTATATGCAGGGCCGGATTAACATGTGTGAGGCTCAAGGGCCGGAAGAAAATGTGGGAGCTCTTTAGAGATTACCTGCAGATTAAATGTAATGCGCTTCTTTCAATTATTTATAAATATTTGCATTACAGCTGCATTGGTCTTATAATATCATACCACTAATAATTTTGTCAATTCTTAAAGCTTTTTACGTCAATAATATTATAACCATATATTGAGATTATATTACTGGAATAATTCCTTTCGAGAATTACTAATACCGTCGAAATTGACTTCGTAAAATAAAGCCAAGTAAACTTTCAAAGCTTTTGTAGCATAAGCTTATGTAAATATTTGGAACGCTGACAATGGAGTACTTAAAATGTGATAATGCATTGTCATGGACATGAAAAATACAAAAGACTTCCTCTAAAATATCAAAAAAAAAAATCAACCGCCCTATTACGAATCAGAAGTTAATTTTTCTTAAATTCAGAATAGCGTATCCAATATGGCGATAAATTTCTTAAAAAAATACTAAAATTAAAACTTTGATACTGAATGATTTACGCACTGTCATGGGTTGCAACTCGTTACCAATGGGTTTCTGGGGTTGCTGCTTACAAATCAGCAGTCAGATTTTCAAAATTCAAAATGGCGGATCCGAGTTTTGAATAAATCCATAGCATTTTTTTTTTTAAATTGATCGTCATATTGGATCCGCCGTTTTCAGAAAAATACGTTTCTCTTTTTTGTCCATATTAAAAAAAAATTAACCACTCTAATATACATATACAGCAAAAAAAAATTCTTAAACTAAGCGTAGCATAGTAGTTGTGGGCGTATGCTAAGTACTATTTTCCAAAAAAATTAGTTGCCTCTAATGTCAGTTTCTTCTCGATGAACATTTTTACAACTATATAACTAGTAAGCTCGCATAAAATTTACTTTGTAAAATTTCAATGAATGAATCAGTAATCAATTATGTATATATGTATGTGTGTATCCACGTTTATATGTCATCAATGAAATTCCATAGTGACTGACGCTTGCATTAACGCTTTTGCATCAAGCCAGTTGTATATTTATTGTTGTAGCAGACAGATGAGCGAATCGAAAGGTGTGAGCACACGCCCACTCAAGCTGTCAATACTCATTAGACAGGTGGAAGTGCAGTGTATATATGTGTTCTTAGGAAAAAGATTTTGCGACAATTTTGATTTGATTTATTTCACTATTAATATTTATGCAGATAGGAGTCTCAAATGACTGACAAGTTTATGATATCAAATTTTTTTCCGCGAAATTAATCAGAATTTTATAAAAGTTGAAACTAAGTTTTGTGTGGAGCAATGACTACATCAAATGCTTTCATCAATATCATCTAACGGAAAGCCAAAATCGCGAGATATTTAAGTGGTGTAGAGCTTTGATAAAAGAAATTTTACTATTGGATTAAGTGGTCATGAAAAATGCAAAATGCATGTTAGTCGATTCGACTAATAATTAGTTTTAACATATTAAGAAGCTGATTAGTGGTCCAGGGTTAATATCATCACGTGTAATACTTATGTTGGGACATTTACCAGTCAGCACCCTCACTAATAGCCTTTGTGCCTTATTGAGCCTAAGGCTTTTCATATGTTGGACTTATTCTAGTTTCTTCTTTTCGCTGGCTTGTGACCCAACCAGCCGACAGGTATTAGCCCCTTCCTCATCGTTGACATAATTTCATAAGTTTTTTGTCTATTCATCGCGTCTGTCCTGACCCCAACGCCCTGGTGGATGAGGAACTTTTGACTAAAGACTTTTCACTAATCCTTCCTCTTGGTTTCGAACTAACCGTAGAAAAGCTCACAGATTCCTTCGGCCTAATGCACTGTTTGGAGCCGTTACAGAAGTTATTGGGATCCTGTAGTCACGGCGGCAAGGGGGCTGTATTTTCGAAAGCACTTGGTTGTTTTGCAGGTGTCAGCATCTGTGGTTTTAACGAGTTTTACTCTTAGATTCTATAATGTACCACACTGTTTCTGCTATACTTGGTTTTATAATTAGCTCGGCTTCCAAGATCCGCAGTTCGCAAATTATCAGCCAGTTTATTACCTTAACCACCGTTAGCGGACAGATCTATGAATGGTCTTCACCCTTTTGGAGGTAGCTCCCATTTGCAGGTACTACTGAAAGTTCGTATATATATATAGATTATACTCTCCGCATTGAGGGCATCTGGTATCAGACTATATTTCTGGTAATGGCTGATGACGGGCGAAAAAAAACTCAGTTCAGTTTTGCGTGGTCTGTCTGCTTAATAATTGTCTCAGACTGTGGTCTGTACCATTGCTCAGTTTATCCACTCAGCTGTTACATTATCAAAACAAATCACCCAAACTTGAAGGTCATTGTGGGCTGCCCTCAGCCCCCTCAGACGGAGCCGTTGGTCGCGTTAATAAATATTTAGTTGAGCACAATGTCCTAGTGACGACTCATGGTTATGCTTTGTAGAGGTGCGAGCTATTTCATGGGTATTTAGAGCAACTTGGTTGTCTTTGCAGACCTTAATTTGGTGTTCGCGCCAACTTTTGAACATTATTCAGTGAGTTAGTTCAGATATTTATGGCAAAAGCATATAAACTTATCTCGGATGCCAGACAGCTCCAGTTCCTTTTGTATAGACAGTTCCCATAACGCCGCTATTTCTAAAGCCGCTCTTCTGTAACCTTCTACTATTACCATGTGTCAAATTACTTTCAAGGTCTACATAAGTTATAATCTAGCCAATTTCTTACGAAACACATTTTAGCAAAATCTCATATTTTCTTCTCTCTCTCTCTCTCTCTCTCTGTCTGTCTCTCTCATTCACAGTGATAAGATCGAACGCTTCATCGATGACAATAAGGCGCTTATGCGACGAATGTACGGCGACTTTGAGATGAATCTCGAACCCGGCGGTCCACAATCACAAACGAAGAAGCGCAAACGAAGATTCATTGATGATCCGGACATTTTCATACCACCCGGCGCATTTCCAGCTTTTGTGCCCGACGATGAAGCCGGCGCAGAACAACACGCTGAAGAAGCGGGCGAAAGTTACTTCGGCAAGCTGCGCAACAAACGACAAATCAATCGGAATGCAAACAAACAAAATTCTCGTGCAAATTCATTTGCGAATGCGGGACAAAACACGGGAAGGTAGAATAGCGACGCTGTAGATATTTTACAAACACAATACATAACATTTGTTTCCCCCCCTTCTACTTTGACAGAGTGGACGCTTGTGAGTCAAAAGTGGAGATTGTCACACCATATTGGGCCTCAAATTCGGCGGGTAAAATACGCGCCATAGTTAATACGCAGCATTTCGAGCAGGCTATACACCAGGAGGTTTGCTCGTGAGTAACATGTGATATGTGTGTGTGTGAGATTTTTGACTAAAGAAATACTTTTTTTTTGTTTGCGTTTCTCCCCTCAGCACTCCCGCGACATCGCGCTGTGATCGCGACTGCGGCTGTGAGCAGAAATATAAATGGCATCGCCTGCTGGCCTATGATCCCGACAATGACTGCAAGGGCATTTTCATGGACTGGTTCCTCTTCCCCTCCTGCTGTGTGTGTAGGTGCAAGCCATAAGCGCCGCGAGAGTTGGCTGTATTTTATGAAACACCAAAACCGAAATGTTTCCTTTTTGTTTAATTATTAAACTTAAGTCAATTAAGTATGTAATTGTACTTTTAAAAACTCACTTAAGTGGCTGACTTGATAGAGTGTTCGGCGTAAGTAAGTTTTCTTTAAATTAGATAATCATTTTTCTTAATTAATCTTAATTCGCTCGATTCGCACACATTTTAAAATTAAGTTCTATGAAAGTAAGTGATTTTTTTTTAGTTTTAACAGAAAATGATTGATTTGCAGGAAAGGCAAAGCTTATGCATTTGTTCTAAAGAGCTTTTAAAAGTATGCATAATATAGCTTAACATGCATGTTGCTTCATGTTAATATTTTGAGAATTTCTTTATTGTCAGTGTTACCTTTTCCATTGATTTCCAAATGATTTGAAGTGTTCATATTAAATATATTAAATTTTAATCGAACCTTTTTATGATTTTTCTCTATGAAACAATTATCATTCTCGTATGATTCTCTGCACTTTATTACACTTATAATTGTCTGATGATTATGAAATGCATACATATCTGTATTTACATATGTATTAGATTATATACTAAACATAATACATGTATGTAAGTCTAAGTGAATGTTATAAGAAAGCGATTATTAGCAGAAATTTACAAATTTCAAAACGAATTAAGGAATTCCAATAAAGTTAACTAATTAGTAACGAAAAAGTTGAGTGAAAGTTATAATTTCTTACTGCCAATACGCATACCCGAAGGTAAGGATTTGTGGGTACTGTACTTGACCGAACTTTGACTTGCACTGGAAAAAGCTTTGGCTTACAATAAACTATTTTTAGGAGTCGTTCTAGAAATGAAGATAAAGAAAGCTTTCAACAACGATCTTCCTGCACCTATTATACGGTACTACCAAAAAAAAAGTCATGAAATACACCCGAAACAAAATCTAGTGTAGCTAGTTGAGAGTTTTCATCGGTTAAATTTTAATGAGTCCCTATTCTTCTTCATTTTTTCAACTTTGATCATCGCTAATTTCAAAAATTTCGATGAATGTTGTCAAATATGTGGTATTTATCTAAAATAACATTTTAATCGAAATCAAAATAATCGATGCTGAAAGAAATCGTCATAAAATAAGTCGACCTCCCAAGATTGATTCATTTATTTTGCCAAATGACGCCTTTTACTATTTTTTTTTTTTTACAAAAAAATACCATCTGACCAAAACAGAAATTACAAACATTCAGTGTGAGTAATTTTTAAAACATACATTGTTCAAAATGGTTTCAATCGCAACATTTTTGCAAAAGCTCACATCCGTAAATACTTTTAAAAAAAATCAAAACTGTGAGATACGCTTATTCTATATACATATATTAAGACAACTATATGAGCAGTCAATAGAAATTTGAACACAAAAGACAAATTTTATTTTTAAAAGTTTATTATAAATACACTAGCTAATATAGATGTTTTTTTTTATTTTTATGTATTTTTTTTTTGTTTTGCTAACTATAGATTACACTACTAACTACTCTTTGTAGTATGCAGTTTTGAAACCCATTAAATTTTAGAAAACCTATAAAATTTGAAAGGGAACCCGTCTAACCATACAAAAATTTGAGTTCTAAGCTTTGTGGAAATGATCATTAAAATTTTTAACTCCCTAATTACTCTAATTACCCTTTTTAGAAAAAAGTTGGGTATGTATTAGAGGTATACGCCGCCGGGCCACGCCGCCGCCGCCGCCGTTTTTTGTCATTTCTCACGCGCCGCCGCCGAGTTACGAACATATCGGCGCGGCGGCGGCGGCGGCGGCGTTCGGCGCCTAGGGAATTTTGTACAAAATTTTCATGTTGTATGCACATTGAAATAAATCGTTTGAAGGAACTAAATACTACTCGTATAAAAGCACTATTTTACGAAATGAAAATTACATTTTTAAAAGATGTTTTTTGTCATAATTTGGGCCACTGAACATTTAAAAAAAAAGCGTAACTCAGAAAAATATATAGGTAACATGTTTTTCGATCGACAGCGTTTATTACAGTTAAATTAGGGTCGAATAGGGTAGAAAAGTTTTTTTCCTAAGTAGTGGTCAAACCCCAGGAAGGTTTTGCTCCCGCGCATAGCAATATTTTCTACACAGAGTTGAAGTCCCCCTTTTTGGTAAAAATTACTATTATTTTGCATTACATTCTGTTCTCCTTAGAAAAATTTGGCACTTAATATATTATTGGAAATTTAACTATTTATAAGCCATTTTTCAAACAGTGGGTCAAAAAGGCCCGTTGTGGTGGGAGTTGATGGGTTAAACTTTTGGAAAAAAGTAGGCCAACCTTATTTTCAATATATAACCCGCAAAAATTCGTAAGAACTCCGTAATTTAACATAACGGTTGAAAGCTTATTGCAAAACTTTATTGATAGCGACATAAATTACCCCAATAACTTAACCTTTAAATTTTTTTATTTCTTTAAATTGAAATAGTACATACGCATTTTTAGAGTACATAGAGATGTATGTATATTAGGGTGCCCATCGAAAATCGTTTTTTTGTACCTTAGTACTACATATTTTCAAATTGTGGAAATTATCGATGGTCAAAATTTAAAAAATTCATTGAAATTCAAGCAAAAATAGTCTCTCAAAAACTCATGAATCTAGAAAATCGTATTTTCTGACCTAAATCGACAGGCCGCGACCTCTAAATGGCCTTTAAAAAATCTATAAAAATAGGCAATAATATTTCTCATAAAAACGAATCAAATTAGGGGGTAGGGTCTTTAAATTTTCAAAAAAAATCATTTTCAATGGGAAACCTAATGTATATACTATATAGACTTTCTTCTGTTCGCCCATCCATCAGCAGCAGTCACTCAACATTTGAATTCAATGAATGAATTAAATAGAATTATAATCTGATGACATGATGAGATTAGAAGCCTCATGGCTCTTTGGACTCTACCTTATGGGCAGTAGCGCCGGCGTTTCCAGACGCGCCGGCGTCGCCGCCGCCGCCGATTCTTTTTGAAGTTGAACACGCCGCCGCCGCAAAGCCTGTCGGCGTAAACCTCTAGTATGTATACAGTTTTGTAGCGCATTGAATTTTAATGAAGTCGCGATTCGTTCCGTCGATCGATCCAAAAAATTGGAGAATCGACATTCAGTGTTTTCTCAATTGATGCATATTGATCTAAAGTTTGCCCTTAAATCTATAAAATGTTAAAGGAAAGCCCCTTGAAGGTGACCCGATATAAAATTGTGCGTAATACAACAACAAAAACTCTAAAAATTCCAATTCATGAATTTAAGAAGACTTATCATAAAATTAAGAAGTATTTTTTAAGTGATGCAATCAAACAGATTTTCTCTATGATTTTTAGAAGATAATTTTATAAATAAAATCCATAAGTATCTGACAACTTGATACACCTATCATTTACTGGCTTCAAACAAAAGGAATAACGCCAGGGTTACCATGCGAAACTTTTGTTTTGTATGAGATTTTCAAAAATGTTGAAAAAATTCACTAATTTAAACAAGATGAAAAGGATACACTGCTATGAACAGATAAGCCAATTCATTTTTGAGTCCTCGCCGATTTCCCTAATGAAATTTTCAGATTTTACACGAAATTTCATGAAATTCTATTCCCATTAATATCAACTGTTTGCAACATTGTTATAACGAAACTTCATTTCACATTTTTGACTGAAAAAAAAAAAACAAAATTCATTATTTTTCTGTAGTTATTTTCGACTATTTTGGCACATAATTTTGTAGCTTGCTTCTTATTAACTGCAAAGAAATATCGTCCACAAAAAACAATCGTTTTCAAAAATAGCAATCGAAAAAAAATCGAACATGTGCCCGCAAGAACGGTTAACAGTTCAAATGAACTTAGCAGGCAAAAAATCAAGCACTCACCTAAAATGTAGTTGTGCATGATCACGTAAGCTGGTTGGTCAAAATGACCCTAAATTTGTTTGCTTGTGTGCAAAATACTAAGTAAATATCTACAAAAATCGGTGTAAATTTGTTTTGATTTTTTCCTCAAAAGCCCTTCCAGAAACTTAATAGAGGAATTAAAAAAGTTGTATCGCAGTGTGAAAGTTATTAAGGAGAGTTCTGGAAAGATTTATTTTAAAATTTGATCATTTTGACTCAATTTGCACAGAAGGGTTAAAACAGCGGCGAAAAATCAACTGATCTGGTAACGCCACTTTATATGAATGTGCAAAGAAGCAAAGATAAAAAAATAAAATTATACAGTGAGCCCAAAGAACAATGAATTTTTCAACCAAGTTATTGTTTGAACACGATCAAACGACGAAGTAAATTTATTCCAGTTTAACATTTTGAAGACGAATTTATAGAGCAGTTGTAGCTGAGTATGCGGAGATGTTTGCTATTATTTGCCAACTTCCAGAAGGTTTTGACTCAAATCTCGTCAGGGGCATTATGTTAATTAAAATGGTGCTATAAATTTTTGCTTTGTGTCTCTCCGACCAATGAAAAAGCATCTGTGAAGTACAGAATGAGAACGAAAAAAAAACCATGACATTGTTTTCATTAAGCAAACATCGCTTTGATTCCTTTTCTGGTTTCAATTAAGTATTATTAGCCAATATTTGGTTGATATTTTTCTCAATGTACCAAATTCCCCACAAAACAACTGTCCATTTCCTGATTTCTCACATAAACTGAAATATCTCGCAAGTCGTGGAATTTCCTACGAGTTGGCTTCTCTGATCAGGATGCTCTGCAATCATCTTGTCATTGCCCCAGTTTTGCAGCATCAAATGGTGAGGGACAGTGTGTCACAGGGCTCCAACAGCTGTAAGTCTTCTCTATCTATCTATTTTGTTTAGAGATAATTAAGATAGCACCACGATGGTAGACTCCCGCCGGGTTTCGTTAACGTAATAGTTTTCTCGTTACCACATACCATTCCCGTATGACCACAGTTAATCTTTTTTTCTGTATCAAGAGCGAGTTCACGATCACTGAACTATTATTGAAGTTTAAACTCCTAACATAATCACATAGTGATTTCATATGAAAAAAACGATTTGGGAGCGCGCAACAATGATGCCCGTCTTAAGAGCGCTCGTTACTTTAAGGAGAGTAAAAAAAAAAGAAAACAAAAAATGAATTGCATCGGCCGGGAATCGAACCCGGGCCGCCCGCGTGGCAGGCGAGCATTCTACCACTGAACCACCGATGCTTATGGAACGCGTTTGTCTAATAGCTGATACAAGCCATAGGCTAGTAAAATGGAACGCACTTAAATACAGAGTGATTCTGTGTCTAAAATATTTACAACACAGGGTGCCTCGGAAAACAATTTGTAAATATATCTAAATTAATCATTCGTGGTGAATACTTCCATGGTAAGTTTACAGCCGGTTTGTGACTTTACTCACTACAGTGGCTCTCAAACTGTGGTTTGAAAAATAAATGTAGAGGAATTTAATAAAAATTGGAAAAAATCAGTTTCACGATGCAATACAAATTAACACAGAAAAAATAAAATTCACTAGAAAGAAGAAAAATGTTATATTTACTTTAATAAACGTACTTTCTGATAAACACGTGAATTCAATCTACAATAAAACCTTCTAAAGAGAAAATGTGTGGTACATGTATGCTTCAAGGATCAAAACAAAGTGCGTTATTCTTTTGAAGCCTAGCTTTATCCCCATGAAATGAGGAAATGTATACGTTG